CCCCCCCCCCCCCCCCCACGCACACTGCCCGTGTCTGTTCCTGCACTCCGGTGCTTTTCCTGGCTCGCTCCAATCACTCGAAACCGTTTTCCTGCCGTGCTCAGACCCCGACGAGCTGCCTCTTCTGGTGGCTTTCGACTGGGGGGGGAGCCGCTTCGTGTCTGCGAAAACCAGCGTCTGTTAATCGATTCCCGCCTCAAATGATATTTATTAGTCAACCTGAAACTCACGAGTGCCCAACTGGAATATCCCTCTCACTCTATTCCACAATGGCGGATAGGCTTCTTTTTTTTTTTTTTTTTTTTTTACTCCCGCTTCCGTTCCGTCCTGCTGCTCCTTGACCTTCCGCCTGTGACGCTCCGAGTCATGTTACAAACTGACACTCTTACATGACGCTCACAAACACGAGTTTTCACCGACTTTTATCACAATGTGCTGACAACTTAGCATCCGAGCTAACCGGAAGTGATGCTAACAGCAAAATTATCTATTAGCTTAGCAGCTACCTTCCCATGGACCAGCAGCCTACAGACAATAATTTAAAAATGCTAAATGGAGATCTTACAGAACGAGCATCTGCGTGTGGAGTTCCGTTCGTGCCAAAAAATAAAAAATATTGCACACCTGTATGCAACTTGTTCGCGTCCAATGAACATGAAATTTAACGGTTCTCTTTGCAAACTATAAACCAAACTAAAAAAAAAATAAATAAAGGTTATTCCAAACTATATGAAATGGTGCAGTTTGAAAATGTTTAACCAGGTAGATTTTCCCAGACATATCGATACGTAATTCTGAAATGCAGGTACGCGCTCAATGTAAATACAGCATTTGACTGGATTCACTAAAAATCAAGTGAAAGTTTAGTTGCCAAAGACCAGTATTATTGTAAATCTGATCAAATAGGAGAAGTGTATTGAAAATAATCTGCTGCTAAATGCAGAAAAAAGGTGAAAGAATTATGGCAACTCTTATAAATAGTAGATCGAGCAGGGTGGTAGAGCAACATAAAGATAAAACTTGGAAATCAAGTGCAGCTTTTGCAAAATTTCTGCTAGGCTAGTAAATTTGCTCATTTAAAAAAAAAACCCTAGACTAATGCGCAAAGCATTTATAACTTGCATCGGTCTGTGTTATAAGTTACCTACTAAATTAGATTAGACTTGACGAGGGTTTTTCCTCAACAACAACAAAGTACAGTCTTAAACATCCCCAGAGCGGCATTTTGTAGGAGCCAAGCAAATTTGCTTAAGTTATAATTTCTAGATTATTATTTTTTTAACCTATCTGCTTATTTTACTAATCCAAAAAGAACAAATACGCACCAATACATCAAAATTTTCAGGCTCCTTCCAAATGACGCCGCCATTGTTGACCTATATGTCACTTGAGAACGCAACAGACATATATGTAAACCCTTATTTGTCGGATACTGTATATAACAAAATATAACACATCTGGTCACTAAATGTTGGTGTTTAAACTCTGATAAAAGAAGAATGAACATCATTGCAAGGCATATAAAAAGTGAGCATGAGAGAATATTCTATTGTGTTTTGGGCACAAATGGAACACCATACCTGTAGTTTTGTTTTTATAAATGTAATTGTTTTTATTGCAATTTTTTATCTTTTAGTAAGTTTACACTGATTGTAGTTGTATTGTGAGTCTTGTAAACTATTTTCCATCTTTTTGCTTCAGTTAAATATATATATATTTAAAAAATTTCTTCATATTTATTAGAATTTTTGCTTGTAGCTGTAACTTTAAACTGTGTGGTCCTGGTTTCTTTACTGTCACTTTTCATTTAAGGTTTATGTGTCTGTGGTGATTTTATCGTTTGTCACTTTTTGTGTCTTTGCGTTGTTAACTTTAAGACAAATTCAGTTCTCTACCATATAAAATGGCATATAAAGAAACAACGATAGGTCTTCGTGAGCAATAGTGGAAAGTAGAAAGACACGTGGTTAAAATTTAAGTTGTTGTATTCTAGTGTTTTTCACGTTTTGGTACCACTAACTTTAAAGCAGGAATTAAAATTTTTATCTCCTGTTTGAACCAAAATGATTAATAGTATTCTGACAATATCATGTAAACTGGATAAGAACTGATCACATTAAAGGATCTATAATCATGTTATGAATACAAACTAAATACATTTGGAAATAACTATTCAAGGAATATATTGTTGGGAAATATTTTATCACTTTGTGAATTACATTCCACTGGATTTTATTTCATAGTGCATCTGTTATGTTTGCTTCAACAATTTTAAAAAGTCAGATTTGTTCTACTTTATAAGGAAAACTCGTTTCTTGAAGATTACGGTGCATACCAACCCCTGGTATGATGACAAATACAAGTCCTCCGTGTGGTTTTCAATTTGAATAAAACTTCAAATCAAAATGAACCAAAAGAGACATTTCTTATACCGTCTTTGTCAGAATGGCTTTTGTTAACATTTAAAACAATCTTCACAGGATAAAAAATATATTTAAGCTAAATAAAGGGTGGGTGTCAATATTAGGCTTTAGATGTGAGAAATGCAAACAGGTTTTGCAATATATGTCTTTATTTAAAAGAAAAAAGCTTTAAAAATTGCATTTGATCTGAACACTTTAACTCTGCTCCATGGGGCGCAGTAGCTCAGTGGTCAGTGCCATGACCTCGTAATCCTGAGGCTACTGGTTTGAGCCCATGTTACGTCAGGAAGGTTATCCGGTGTTAATCAATGGGCAGCACGATGGCTTAGTGGTTAGCTTCACAGCAAGAAGGTCCTGGATTCAATCCTCGGTTTGGACCTTGGGTCTTTCTGTGGGGAGTTTGCATGTTCTCCACGTGTTTGCATGGGTTTTCTCCGGGTACCTCAATTTCCTCCCGTGGCCCAAAACAGAGAAACATGCATGTTCGGCTGCCTCCAGGCCTCCTTCACAAAAGCGATTTATGATCTCCTTGGGATTAGCCTGGTTAAATAAAGGTACATAAACAAATTGCCAAATCTTTGTTTGCTTTCTGTGGAGCAGTTGAAAATGAAGAAGATGACTTTAACGCTGCTCCACAGTGCAGTGCAATAAGATGTGCTGGTTGAGGTGCTGCAACACTGAGTGGTCCATGTTGCAAAGAGATGCTGGTTGGTGGAGAGGGGTTTCTGCTGGGTGGGCAGGTTTTATGCTTTCCCTGAAACTGCATCTGAAACCGAAAGGTCCGGAGTCCCTGCACAGTAGCAGGCCAGTACTGAGGTCCAGGCTGATATGTTGTATGGGTGGAGGCAGGCAGAACCCTGCAGGTTGGACAGCTGCAGCTGAGCTAGTTGGACTAGCAGAAGACTAACACAGAGGCTGTTTCCTGATCCTGAGAGCATCGTTCTCGGCGATGAAGCGATACATTACGTCTGTGAGCTCACGCTGGCACCTCCTCCAAACAGAGTGATCAAAGTTGCGCATGGCTGACCTGAGCCACTCTGCAAAAGCGTCGCATTCGCGTTCATCTTCTGGTCTGAGCTGTCCATGGAGCTGCTGCTGCTGCATGGTTAAGAACTGCTGGGGGTGTTCACTGGGGCTTGTGTGCTGGGCTTCATCGTCTTCATCAGCTGCTGCCCCTCTGCCACAAGAAGTACTAGCAGTAGCTGGTTTGGTGCTGCTCATGGGGGAAACAGGTTGGAGTTTAACTGGCTCAAGATGAGGAGCAGGTGGGTCAGCATTGTCATCATCATCGTCAGCATCATGATCAAGGTCATCTTCAATAGGGGGGATGTCATTAACACCAACCTTTTCCTTCCTCTGAAATGTACAAATTGAAAATTTCACAAGGCAGTTATTTCACTAAACTTATTGAAAAATGGAGATGTACACATGAAAACGCATACTCAGACTGACCCGTCTCCTCTTATGGAGCTCAATAATGTGCGGTCTCAGAAACTCGAAGCACCCAAGTATCCAGAAGTCTCGCTCTGTCAGCTCGGGGGACTCCTGCCTGGAGCAGAGCTTCTTCAGGCGACCGTACCTCGTACGCAGACTGGTGTACCAGGTCTTCAGTATGACAACATCCTTTCCAATCTCCTCGGCCTTTTCACGCCACAAAGCCTCCTTCCTGTTGGTGTGTTTGTAATTTTTCAACTTGCGGTTGTAGAGGATGGGGTTACCCACCAGCCACTCAACCATGGATTGTTCTTCCTCCTCTGTCAGCATGGCCGTCACCTTCTCCTTCCGCTGCCTCTTAGAGGTGGACTCATGGTCATTATTATTAGAGTCTTCTGTGGGAGCAGTGTGATCAGAACCAGCATCAACCCCCTCCTGGATACGTTCAGCATGAGAGAACTGTTGTGATGGAGTTTTTGGTGGTCGTCCAGAAGGCCTGACCATAATGACGCCAAGAATAATGAAGGACACACTGGTCGTTAAAGCAATGGGGTGATGAGCTGCAGGAGTGAGCACTTACATGGAGGCGTGATGTGTTCACCATATATACACTCTGTCTAAGTTATAGCCTAGGCATGAGTCCAGCTTGTGAAATCCTGCTTTCATTTTTTTTCACAACTAATAAAACGTCCATGCGTCATGGCACGCTCTCCTCCAGGATCCCCGTACGATGGATGAACCACCGGTTCACGCTTTCTCACGCCCGCCGCGTTCCTTATACGCCCCTGAAGACTGCCAAAAATCCGACGACGACCATCCACGTTCTGGCTAATTGTTCACGTCGTAGAGGAGTCGTAGTAAGGGGGTCGGTTTCTTTAAAAACAACTGCGCGGATCCTTTGAGCAGGACCGCTCCTCTCGCGATACTTGCTACTCTCGCGAGATTTCCTCAGTGTTAGCTGAACAGTATGGCAGCCGTGTCTCTGAGATCCTGCCGCAGAGGACTTTCACAATTTTTAAGCAATGGTGGGATCGCAGCTCTGTCTTCTGTGCCACTACAAGGTTTGTTGAATTGTGTGTTTGTGGCTGAATTAATTCTGCATCGCTCCACCGTCGTCATCGACCGTCGGATGTTATAAAACACATGGAAGGAGGGGGCGTGGCGAATGCTTCGTCCTTAAAAAATTAGGGCATGATGTAAATACAGTGACATAATCTTAACCGCTCATAAGTTATTTAGCTTCACTTGGGTGGGTTATTGTGACATGTTTGAACGCTTTGAAGATGCCCTTGAAAATCAGCGCTAATATTTACTGTTTGTAGGAGGCAGGAGACACAAATCTTTTGTTCAGTTTGCTTCACGACCAGACCTTCCAAAGCTGGCTTACAGAAGAGTGAAGGGGAAAAGTCCAGGTGTGGTCTTCCTGCCAGGGTATGGCTCCAACATGAATGGGCAGAAAGCTGAGTCTCTGGAAGAGTTCTGCAGGTCGTTAGGTCACTCATACCTCAGGTGAGTCATCCACTGTTTATTTTCTCCCGAAGCTTTTATTTTGTAGTTTTAAAATCAAGGCAGAATGTATTGCAAAGTGATGATGACACAGCATTTCTGATGGCCTACTGATTTTAATCTGTTGATTTGCATCATACTAAACCCTCAAAGCCTAATCCCATGTTTATAGTAGTGCGTTGTTAATTTGTACTTCTCTATAAAAAAAAATTTTTTTAAAGCAGTGCAATGAGTTGTAAATCATTTCAAGCATTTCTTCAAATAAGGGACATATCTTTTGGAAAAAAACAATTACAAAGTCTAAGAGTTTAATAGGGTGGTGTTGTCTAAGGAGAACTCTCCTGAACAAAGTTGGGTCAGAATAGGATTATTTCACCCACCGTGTGTAATTTCAGTAAGAAAATCTAGGGAAATTATAGTATGTAAGAGGAAATTTAGACTGACTAAATTTGATTTCATTAAAATATATATATATATATATATATATATATATAGTTTTTACTGGATATTACTGCTTCTGCTGCAGCTGGTTTCTGAAAACCACTGTTGGTCCCTTTTTAAACTTTAACATGCAAACAAAGTGGCAACTTTTAAAATAAATTATAGAAACTCATGCTTCTTTGGTTGCGTTTATTTGATTTTTATTTGACTAACCTTTTTATTTAACCAGGCAAATCCCACCGAAATCACAGATCTGTTGTGCAATCGAGGCGAAGGCAGCGTAACAAGCATGTTTTGAACTATTTTTGATTGCGTTGCGTCGATTTGGCAAAACGTTCTGCTCTTTTGAGTAATTTAGTTTGGTTGCAAATATATTCTGCCCACATCCAAACAGAGAAACAAACTCACTAATATGTCCTTTCTTCCACCATCTTTCTGAACAATCAAATGAAGTTTGAGGTTTTTGTTCTGCCAAGTTTCTGTCATAAATATTACGTATTCATTTTTTGTTTTATATGCATGTTTTGGAGCAACAAATGGTGCCGTACACACGAGAATATTTGTATTTGAGTAGACTTTAGTCATTTCAACAGAAACAAAATATCCAAATTGATATAGCTTGTGTTGAACTTAACAAAGCTTTTAGTATAATATTTTCAGTGTTTTTCTCTACCAGCATACAGTCTTGGAGACTATGTTGGATTCAGTCTAATGCCTAAAGAGACTATTAGGTGTCAAAGGCTTGGGAACTGAAACCCGGACCCTTTCATTTATTGCACCTTCCACTGAAATGCAGCTGACCTGCTCAGAGTCCAGATCTGTCACCGCTTTATTCAAACTGAAATAAAAATAATAATAAGAGAAATTTGTGAGCTGAAAAATGACATCAAGTGTTTCCTGTGAATCATTATCAGCTAAAATAAGTTTGAAATGTGAGCAAGTCTTAGTCGTCGAGAACCTTGTCTTTGCGTTTCTGTGGTCAATGTCCAATCCTCTGATACTCACAGGCATTCTCTGCTGTTTCTATGTTTGTTAGGTTTGATTACACCGGACACGGGGCCTCTGAGGGGGTGTTGGCTGAAGGAACTATGGGTACCTGGAAAAAAGACGTTCTTTTCATGTTGGATGAGTTAACAGAGGGGCCACAGGTAAATATTCTTTGGGTGTTTGGTAAACCGATTAAGTTATGAAATCCTTACTCGGTATGTGTGAAAATTGAAGCTTATTCCTCTTCAGAACAGTAAACAAGCACTTTAATTCCATCTATCCATCCATTATCTTTACCCGCTTATTCCATTTTGGGTCACGGGTGTCGCTGGTGCCCATGTCCAGCAAACACTGTGCGAGGGGCGGGGTACACCCTGGACGGGTCGCAAGTCCATCACATGGCCACATAGAGACAAACGAGACAAACAACCATTCACTCTCTCACTCACACCTAGGGACAATTTAGAGTTACCAATCAGCCTAACATGCATGTTTTTGGTCTGTGGGAGGAAACCGGAGCACCCGGAGAAAACCCACGCATGCACGGAGAGAACATGCAAACTCCACCCAGAAAGGCCCCCGGACCGGGGTTTGAACCAAGGACCTGCTCGCTGAGAGGCAGCAGCTCTACCAGTTGTGCCACCGTGCTGCCGCACTTTAATTCAATTCACTTTATTTATATAGCGCCATGTCACAACAGAAGTCGTCTCTGGACCCTGAATAGAAACGTTCATATATAAAAATCATAAATTAACACTGTATCTAAAGAGCAGACCGCTTTGAATTTAACTTCATCGCAGAACTCTCATCTTGAGCAAGTATGAAGGCGACAGTGGAAAGGAAAAACTCCCTCATGAGGAAGAAACCTTTAGCAGAACCAGACTCAGGACAAGCAGCCAGCTGCTTCAACTGGCTGGGTTTTGGTAGGAACAGATACACAATGGCAGGTAAAGAATCACATCTGTGGTGGGCTTGTGACCTGTCCAGGGTGTACCCCGCCCCTCGCACAGTGGCCCGTGACCCAAAAATGGAAGAAGTGGGTAAAAGGTAATGGATGAATGGAAGGTCAAGAGTCACATGTTAAGATAGAAATGGTATCAAATGAAAACCATTCAATTTTAACAATTAATTTAAGGAAATTAGGTTAATTTGTCCTCCAGTAGTCTAAGCCTATAACAAGCCAACCCTAACTATAGGATTTATCAAAAAGGAAAGTCTTAAGCCCAGTCTTAAAACTGGACAATGTGTCAGCCTCATGGACAGTATCTGGAAGTTGGTTCCACAAGAGAGGACCCTGAAAACTGAAAGACCTTCCTCCCATTCTGCTTTTGGAAACTCTAGGAACTGCGAGTAAACCTGCAGACTGAGAGCAAAGTAAAAATATGGAACAATAAGATCTTGTATATAAGATGGAGCTAGGTTGTTGAGAGCTTTGTAGGTTAGAAGTAAGATTTTTAATTCAATTCTGGATTTGACAGGGGCAGCACGGTGGCGCAACTGGTAGAGCTGCTGCCTCTCAGCGAGCAGGTCCCTGGATCAAACCCCGGTCCAGGGGCCTTTCTGGGTGGAGCTTGCATGTTCTCCCCGTGCATGCGTGGGTTTTCTCCGGGTACTCCGGTTTCCTCCCACAGACCAAAAACATGCATGTTAGGCTGATTGGTAACTCTAAATTGTCCCTAGGTGTGAGTGAGAGAGTGAATGGTTGTTTATCTCGTTTGTCTCTGTGTGTCCCTGTGATGGACTTGCGACCCGTCCAGGGTGTACCCCGCCCCTCGCACAGTGATTGCTGGACATGGGCACCAGCGACCCCTGTGACCCAAAATGGAATAAGCGGGTAAAGATAATGGATGGATGGATGGATTTGACAGGGAGCCAGTGGAGAGAAACTAAAACTGGAGAGATGTGATCTCTCCCACTAACTCCAGTTAAGACTCTGGCAGCAACATTTTGGATCAACTGAAGACGTTTTAAAGAAGTTTTGGACGCCCAGATAATAAACCATTGCAATAGTCCAGTCTAGACGTGACGAATGCATGAACCAGTTTTTCTGCATCATTTTTAGACAAGATGTTTCTAATTTTAGTGATATTACGCAGGTGGAAGAAAGAAGGTGGTTCTAGTAACGTTTTTAATGTGGGGGATAAAAGACATGTCCTGATCAAAAATAACACCAAGATTTTTAACATTAGAACTGGAGGCCAGATTAATGCCATCTAAGGAGGACGAAAGACTGAAAAAAATATTCCTAAGACACTCCGGTCCAAAAACTAAAACCTCAGTCTTGTCTATATTCAAAAGCAGAAAATTTAGGGTCATCCGGGTTTTTATGTCTTTAAGACATGCTTGTAGTCTAAGTAACTGATTGGATTAATTGGGTTTCATGGACAAATATAATAACTGTGTATCATCAGCATAACAATGAAAATTTATCCCATGCTGTTTAATAACATTACCTAAAGGAAGCATATACATGGTGAAGAGTATTGGTCCAAGCACTGAACCCTGAGGAACTCCATGACTGACTTTGTTGTATTCATTTCCAAACTGGAATCTATCATAAATATGATTTAAGCCAATTTAGAGCCGTTCCTGTAATTCCAATGTCATATTCCAACTTTAAATAACTTATCTCATGATTTACACAATAACAGCTTAAAGATCTTCACATCAAGTGCTTCATAAAAGGAATTTGTATGATTGTACAATATAAATCTGGAACAAATAGTATCTCTTTAAAACATTTGTTAAAGAATAATCTGCTGAAAATAATTGTCTGATATTGTATCTTCAAACTATCTTTGACAACAATCCTTAAATATTAAGTTTCTCTAAATCAGAAAATTGGCGTCCATGAGCAAACGAATGTCTTCTGAAACGTTTCACAGCATCTCTGCAGTGGAGACCAAACTTTTAGAAAATGATTTGTCTGAAAGCAACCTTCTTGTGTCAAACTCTCTCCTAGTAAAGAGGAGCTGAGAAGCATTTAGTTTCAACATGAGCGGCATTAACTTTTTAAATTTTTGTCCGTTGAGATTAAACTATAAAAACAAACAAATGTTTAAAATTTTGATTTATTTAAAAATTGTTCCTTGTCACTGTTTCTCCTTTATCTCCAGTAGAGGGTGTCCTATAACCACAAATGCACAACATCACATGCTGCATCAGTTTATTGACTTGTTCTTTGAATTTAGTTGTTTTGCCCTTTTTGTTTGCAGATTTTAGTGGGCTCCAGCATGGGCGGTTGGCTCATGCTGCTGGCTGCCATCGCAAGACCAGAAAAGACTGCAGCGCTGGTGGGCATCTCCTCTGCAACGGACCATTTCGTCACAGCGTTCAACTCGCTACCGATAGAGGTGGGAGCACATCATATCAGTGTGTGGAATGCTGAGTCAGCTTTTAGGCTGTTTTTCTGTTTGGCTGTTCCTCTGCTCTTTTTTTTTTTTGGTAATCAAACCACTTTTGCTTTCTTTGTGTTATTTAAACCGTTCATTTAGCAAAACAGTTGGGACTAGTGTGCCATGTTTAGTATGTGTGATTTGTTTACTTCTTAAATTTAAACGATATTTTCTCTTTTTTTTTCCTCAAAGAAATACAGTGAGATCTGTTCATTTCTTTCAAGAACTTAGATCTCTTGTGAGATCTGCTTTAGCAAACTTGGCTTTGGATTTGTCTCCTATGCTCCTTTTAGCTTTTAGTTAGAATTTAGCAGATTTTAGCCTTTAGCTGCAGTTTGACTTATTTTAGTTTTGTCTGCATTTGAGCTAATTTAGGCTTTTACATACAAATTGGGCTAATTTTAGCTTTTAGTTGCCACTTTGCAAAAGTTCTTTCAGCTACATTTTTTGCTAATTTAACCATTTAGCTACAGTTCTGCTAATTTTAGTTATCATTCAGCGCTCAAAATTCAATTTCTCCGCCTACATATATATTTTTAGTTTTGTTTGAGTTTTTTAAAGTTCTGAGGTTGTTTTTTTTTTTTTATGTTTAAAATCCACAGACGCGCAAGGAGATCGAAGCCAAAGGGGAGTGGACACTGCCTTCCAAACACTCTGAGGAAGGTTTCTACAAGATTAGCATGAACTTTCTGCACGAGGCAGAGAATCACTGTGTTCTTCAAAGCCCCATCCCCATCACCTGCCCCGTGCGGCTCATCCACGGCCTCAAAGATGAGGACGTCCCCTGGCACATCTCCATGCAGGTCGCCGAGCGCGTCCTGAGCCCTGACGTTGACGTCATCCTCAGGCGAAACGGCGAGCACCGCATGTGTGAGAAGGACGACATCAAGCTGATGGTCTACACTATCGATGACCTCATAGACAAGCTGACCACCATGGTCTGAAGAGGAGGAGGAGTTAGCTGTTAAGGAAATTACCAAACAACCGCATGTTTCTTTGCCAAATGTGACCTTTGATGCATCAGTTTTTCCCATAGTTTTTCTGTCACTTTATCATGCAAATGTTATGAAAGAGGTTTTTCTGCACCCTAGAATATTCAGGATACATTTATACACCTTTCAAGTTGTATTAACCGTTACTTTGTCTTTAATGTCTGCCGATGCTGCTGTTTCTGCCACTGTTCCGATACGTTGGGCTGTTTGTCCCACAAAAATGGACACAAAAGTCTTCCTGTGCCTTTTCCTCCACTTTTCACCCATTTTTTGGCCAATAAAACCTCTGCACACTAAAGTGCAGGTGTGAAGTCTGTGAAAGTCCCTGCACTCTTAACTTGGTTGTCTCAACAGTATGAAGCTGAATTAAAAGCAAACAAAACGTAATTTTAATACATACAGAGTGAATATATATGCATAAAACTGGTGAAAATGTAGTCAAAACTGCTTCAGATGTTAATGTTTTTAAATGAAATCTTTACAGTTGCAGTGAAATGAAAGTTGGATAATTATATTTGGTAATGGATCCTCTTTCAGTTTTATAGTTTGGGGTTTTGCAATTTTCTTCTAGGTCTAAACATTTGGTAAAAATGCAGCCTTCAACGAACTAAAACGATAAACACAATGAAAAGTTCTTACAGGTTTTTGTATAAATTGATGAAAATTTAAATATATTTGTTAAAAAATAAATCGGAACAAATTTGATGCTTTAAAATAAAGACTTAAGTAGCAGTGAGATGTTTGTTCTCAATTACACTGTGACTGTCTGAGCATCTCCTGACGTCACTTTCTCACAAACCAAATCTTCATTTTTAGATTATTGTAATATCAAAACTAAAGTAACTGAAGTCTGAGATGTAGCTCGTGAGATTTTTTTTTTTTTCTTCTGTGAATTGAAATTTCTAACCTCAGGGTGAACTCATCATGTGAACACTAAAAAAAGGAAATGTTTTCCATGACTTATACGAAGTCAGGTCGCAGAGGCAACAGGTCCAGGAGAGAAACAACAAAAAAGACATCTCTCTCTCAGCAACATATCTGGAGGACTCCAAAGAGCTCCCAAGCCAGAGAAAATCCCTCCAGCAAGCTCTGGGTCTGCCCCAGATTCTCTTTCCAGCGGAACATGCCCAGAAAACCTCCAAAAGGGAGGCATCCTAATCAAATGAACCATCTGAACTGACTCATTTCAGTGGGAAGGAGTTTCTACTCCAAGCTCCCCCTGGATGACCTCAAAATATTTTCCATTTCTGATTAATCTTTACTAAAGCACTTAATAGATCAGAAATATACAGTGTAACACTCAGATTGAGAGGCAGTAAAAGTTGCATTTCTTAAGGTCACTGCTGATGTCTTTCCTCCTCGTCATTGTCAACACAGTTAAAAAGATCGCAACTGTCGTTCTTGAATTCCCATATCCTGTTGAAGCAGTATGAGCACAAAATGTTTTGCAAAAAGCATTTTTTGGGTTAGTTTTTATTAAATAAACCATGACAGTATATGTTGGGTTTTGCTTCACTGAGTTATAATCTAATCTGAAGACTGGAAGATTATTTTTTATCATTGTCCATATTGGAACTGAAAGAGGCTCTTTTAACATATGTGTTGAGGCTTAGCAGCAGATTTCTGTGCAAAAACCCAGAGAGAAATAAAAGAAAGCAGCTAATGCAGGAGGTAAGTGTCAGAACTGAAACATGGAGCAAATGCTAAATGTGGTTGTGCAGAAAAATTGACAATATTTCATGTTGGACTGAACAGTGATTAATATTAAATTTGCATAGCATTTGAGTACAACATCACTTTGTCTTTTTGGCATGTTTATGGTTGCACGCTACGATCTCAAGTTTATTTTAGTCATTGGGTGGCTTCTTATCCCTGCTGGCCTTTAGTTATTGAGGCCTGGTGAATGAGTCCACCGAACTGTTGATTATTAACAAGAAGCTGCTTTAAGCTCAATGGGGCAAATCAACCACTTATCTCTCGCAGGTCCTGTAACTGCAGCACTGACCTTTAGGTTATGACTCTGCACTCAGTCAGTTGTTTTAATGTCCAAACTATAAATGTCAGTCAACACCATGAGAGGTGGAAAGCAAGCAGGAATTGTGCAAAAGGTTTGTTGCTCCGATTAATCAATTTTTATTATTTTTTTCTTACACCCCAGTTCTAAAAATATGTGTAAGTTGTAAAATAAATGCAACTTATGGAATGATTAACGAATATCCATCTATCCATCATCTTTACCCGCTTCTTCCTTTCCGGGTCGCGGGGGTCACTGGTGCCCACATCCAGCTATCATTGTGCGAGAGGCGGGGGACAACCTCAACAAGTTGCAAGTCCATGACAGGGAGACAAACAACCATTCCCTCTCTCACTCACACACTAACAATATGCATGTTTTTAGTATGTTGGAGGAAACCAGAATATCCAGAGAAAACCCACACATGCACGGAGAGAACATGTAAATTCCACCCAGAAAGGCCTCAGATGGGATTTGATCCAGTGACCTTCTCGCTGAGAGGCAACATCTTCCTACTGAGCCACCGTGCTGCTCCCATTAAACCATGTCTGTTTGTTCTGGACGTCATTGTATGGGCTCAGGAAGACTTCCACAAATCAAATGTCTGTAAACAAAGTTCACCGTATCATCCGCAAATGCAGGTTAAAGCTCTATCGTGCAAAGAAGAAGCCTATGTGTGAACACCATCCAGAAACAGCACCGTCTAATCTGGACCAAAGCTCTATTAAAATACAAAGTGGAAAACTTCTGTGGTCGGATGAATGGAAATTTGAAATTCCTTTTTGAAACCCGGAATGCCACGTCCTCCAAAAAAGAGAGGGACCGTGCGCAGAGCCTGCCTCTCTGATGTTATGGGGGTGCATTAGTGCTTATGGCATGGGCAGATAACACCTTGAAAAGTGCACAATCATTGCAAACAATATATAAGCAAGTTTTAGAACAACATATGCAGTACTCCAATTCTGACCATTGATCAGCTAAATTCAGACTATGCTTGTTTGTTTGTTTTACTTTTTTCATCTGTGGTTTTATGATTAATTGTCTGTGTGCTGCTGCCATTCTTGGCCAGGTCTCTAATGGGACAACAATCCCTTCTAAAAACTCCAAAACTGGTCTCCTCAGCTCCTAGATGTTTAAAAAAGAAGAGAAGATGCTTCAGAGTCGTAGACACGGCCATTTCCTAACTTTTGTTTAGATGTGTTACTGCCATAAGTTCAAAATCACCATTTTTAATGTTCCCTTAGAAATAAAGCATGCGTTATGAGATTTGCATTGCATTCTGGTTTTGTTTACATTTTTGTCAATTAGGCAGAACGATGAGTCAGTTTGTATCAACCAAAGCAGCTGAACCCAGAGATCTGCTGATAGCAGTCAGTGATCATGTTAGTGAATCAGCTGACTCTCAGAGAGGATAAGGTAATATTTCAGGTGGTATCGCACACATTGTTCAGAACTGGGCCCGAGGACAAAGACATTGATTTGACGCATTCACGTGTTTGCTGAGAGTCACTTCATCAGAGATGAGAGTGCGTCTGAGCTGCGCGTCCCCTCACGCATATAAAAAGAGTGAGCCGCCCCTCCCGGGCAGAGCCAGGTCCAGTCTGGCCCGACGCGGTCGTGCTGTGGTTTATGGATGCTTCAGCAGTCCGGCACCGTCCTCAACACTGTCCAGCTCAGCGGATTTAAGTCGGGACGGCTCTGTCCTCCTCAGTAAGTCCTTGCTTTATTTATTAACCCGCTTCCAGTGCGCACCAGAACTGACGCGTTGCGTAAAACCGCGCAATTGGCGCACTTTTATGCGCTTTTTGTAGCAGCTGCGTTCGGATTTGCAAACGGTTTTAACAAGCTGAAACGAGCCGGCCTTTGTTTCAATGGGCTGATTTTAACTTTTGAATTAACTGATGCAGCGCGGACGAGCACGATTCAGAATTTACGCAGACCATGAATGCGTCACAGGACTGACGTCATTTTGTTAAACAGGATCTCTTGCTGCATCTTTATAATTATGCTTTCTATATATATATATATATATAAATATATATATATAAATATATATATATAAATAAATAAATAAATAAACATCTATTCACATCACTGCCTGAGCCGGAAACAAATTAAAATGTTGCCATGGCAATAAGAGGGCATGTCTCTGCCAAGTGACCACACCCTTCTCCACTGTGGCCCTCACAGATGCTCCTGTGTGGACCTCAAAGAAAGAAAAACCTGCTGATTTTTACGTCAAAACAAACACTGAGTCAATAGTTTACTCTGCAGATTCTAGAAAAGTACGGGGCTTGTTATTATACATTTTGAAATAAATAACAATAACTCGATTTCAGCATTAATTTTGACATTTCTTCCTACAGGACAGCTATACAGATAACACAGAGATAAGTCTGCCATGGCGAACAGAGGGCCCAGTTATGGACTGAGCCGAGAAGTGCAGGAGAAGATCGACCAGAAGTACGACCCCGACCTGGAGCAGCGTCTGGTGGACTGGATAGTTGCACAGTGCGGAGGAAACCTGGAGAAACCACAGCCGGGGAAGCAGAACTTCCAGAAATGGCTGATGGATGGAACAGTGAGTGGACACTTTGCTCTTAAAATAGAAATATGTTGAATTATTGAAGGTACAACGTGCAAGCTCTGTCATGAGGCAGCAACTTTGGGTGCCCTGTTTCAAGCTGGTCTTGCTTTACTGAGAGGTAATCTGGTTAAAATAAAAAGGGTTTCTCAAGGCAGAGAGGAATTCAATTAGCGGAAAACAAAATAATCAATTTAGATCTGCATCTTTTTATTGTACACTGAGTTTGCATTGAGTTGTTCTGAAGGACTTGCATGAAAAAAGACTCCTTTATTTACAAGAACTTCACAGTTTAGACCCTCTGCAAAACATTGCAACTTATTCTACTGCTAAAATGAATATATCAGAACAATTTATAAAAATTGTTGACATGACTATATTTTTTCAAAGTGATGACAGGAGCATACCTTCATCTGGAAAGATTAAACAAATATATTCAGAAACAATGACTTGTGCCAAATGTGGTCTTTTCACAGAAATGTGATTAAATGACATTTCTGACCTCCGTCTGTTCCAGATCCTGTGTAGACTCATCAACAGCCTCTATCCAAGAGGGAAAGAACCCATCAAAAAGATTGCAGACACCCAGATGGCCTTTAAACAAATGGAGAAGATCTCCCAGTTCCTGCAGGCATCAGAAGCTTATGGAGTCACGACCACTGATGTCTTTCAAACTGTAGACCTCTGGGAAGGTAAAAGGATCTCACAAACCAGCATGTCCTCCTAAACTTTAGTCGTTGATGGGATATCTTCCATTTACGGCTGGAATCGTGCACCTATTTTGTACCTCATTACAGGGACAGACATGGCAGCGGTACAAAGGACCCTGATGGCTCTGGGTAGTCTGGCGGTCACAAAAGACGACGGTCAATACAAAGGTGACAGAGACTGGTTCCACAGGTATGGAGGAACCTTATGGGAGCAGCAAAAACAGCTTCATAAACTCACATTCTTTTCAAATTATACCCTTCTTTGTCTTGTAGGAAAGCTCAAGGGTATCGACGAGAGTTTTCCGAAGAGCAGCTGCGCCAGGGTCAGAGTCTGATCGGCCTGCAGATGGGAAGCAACCGCGGGGCGTCTCAAGCGGGGATGACAGGCTACGGCATGCACCGTCAGATCATGTAGAGCACCTACCAGCTAACGTGCCCCCTCCTGCTTCCAGACTTTCTTTTCTACTAATACCACAAATGTAGCTCCAAACCTTTCCTAAGCTTTGTAGTGCCTGCCATATTAACCTCAATCTCCCTGAAAGTGCTGCTTATTCCTAAATGTTTCATTTGATTCTTTAAAAAAAAAAAGATGTCAACTGCTGTAGGTATCTTTTTTCAAGCTCCCATTCTATTTATTTTTCTTTTTGAAAGGAATAGTCTTATCATTTTTGAGGTTATGTTCTGTTAAATAATCAATAATTAGTATGTCAGCCCTGACATCAGTCATGGAGCACAGAGAATGGAGCAATGGGTACAAATCTAGGCTAAAGGCTAGCCAAACAAGAGCCTAATACAGTGGTCCCTCGCTACTTCGTGGTTTGTTTTTCGCGGACTTGCACCATTGCGGTTTTTCAAAATAAGATTGGACATGACTCACAATTGGCTGATTAATGGATGAGGCGCGTGATGGGCACGGGATTTGTATTTTAAATAAATTATTTTAAATTATTTAGCACCTCCTGCTCCAGTGTGTAGCCCAAGCTGCAGTAGAAGCTTCCTCCTGCAGCTGATAAGAAACATTGATTAATACATATAAATATATATATTAAAAAAAAATAAAGGACTACTTACTACTTGTACTACTATTCGTACTTCCCGGTTTTCACTTATCGCAGTGCTTCATAGTATGGATCCCCCACGATAAACGATGGACTACTGTAATAATAAAATAACTGTTTTTATGCATTCATGTCACAACTGATGAGATACTATCTATTATTACTATTTTGCAGAACATAAACGGCCAAACTATGTCATTTTACACTTTCAGTGTTACAGTGTTTACTTTATGTGAATCTCAGTTAAATCACATAAATAAATAACAAACAACAAAGCCATCCGTAATTTACACATATTATCAGAGATACTGTAAGTGACTGTTACAGTGTGCTGTATGTACTATTTTATATGTTTTATATGTTTTACTTTAGAGTTTATAGAGCTTCCTGTTACTGTGTAATTATTTATTGATAAAGAGATAGTTCACATATTTTGATTTCTGTAGAAAGGTCATGAACCACTAATATCTACAACAGGTAAGATATTAGTTTTTCATACTTTTCCCCCACAGATCCCCAATTCAATAGGCATGAACTATCACTTTTGGACTAATGAGGCTCAGTAAGTGATGTTGAGTCTGTTATCTTGTCTGAAGCCTCGTTGCAGTGTCTTCTGTAACCAAATCAACCTCACGTTGTGCCTGGTTTGGGGACTTCTACCACTGGGTCCTGACATACTGGTCTCAAATTATAAACGAGTGCCATCCCTTTTGAGCCATGCCCTCGTATTGTTTTCTGTTAGGCTGCATTAATTTGTCCTTGCTGTGTCCAAGCTGTGTGAAATGTCCAATAGACATTCAAGTTTCTGGTGCCAGGTAAACACTGCTTGAATGAACACTTTTAAGTGTGTTATGTTTATATTTTTCAAACTATATTTATATCTGGAGGCTTGAAAGAAGAATTGTGGAAAAAATTAAAGTATGAAGAAGAAAAAAACTGTTTCATTCTTGCGTAACATTGTGTTTGGTGTGTTTGGATTTATGTTCAGCTCCTCCCTTCCCAGTCGCCCGTTCCTTTCCTTACTGTGCACAATCTAATAAAGTGTCAGCAGTGCAGCACGATGATTTAGATGCTGCTGGCTGATTCAAGTCAGAGCAACAGTGAGTCTTTGTTTAGTAGCATGATCTGAAATCCCTCCATTCTCCCTCAGCGATGATCTGAGCTTTGTAGAAGGTGTTGCAAAAACAGAAGATCCACCAAAACTACTATTAAACACTTTACACAAATTATTCTTGTTTTTATATGAATTATAGTTGTAGTACTTTTTTTTGTTTTTGTTTGCGGAGTTCTACATAAAAGTAAAAAGACTTTCATTGTGTTTTCAGAGTCAACTTTCAGCTGTGGATCAGACATTTATGGGGTGGGGATGTAGTCACAGAAAAAGATAGAGTTGTAGTTGTATGAATTTGATAAATTAATTGAATCTGATAAAAGTGAAAGGGATGGTTCATATCTGTTGACGTCATGTTTTGTAAAAATGTTTTGAACAATCAGTATCGTACCTGTTGTAGACAGCATTTGGCCGGCACGGTGGAGCAGTTGGCAGAGCTGCTGCCTCTCGGTGAGTAGGTCGCTAGATTGAATCCCAGTCGGGGGGCCATTCTGGTTCAAGTTTGTATGTTCTCTCTGTGCATGTGTGAGTTTCCTCCAAGAGACCAAAAACATGCATGTTAGATTGATTAGTAACTCTAAATTGTCCCTAGGTGTGAGTGAGAGTGTGAATGTTTTTGTCTCGATTGTCTCTATGTATCCCTGTGATGGACCTGCCCAGGGTGTCCCTCGCCTCTTGCACAGTGATGGCTGGGCATGGGCACCAGTGACCCCAGTGACCTGAAACGGAAGAAGCAGGTAAAAGATAATGGATGGATAGATTGCACTGTAAGCTATGCCAGTTTGGAGCAATAGTGTAAATTTGATTGGACTGTTGAGCTAATGGCTGGTTTAGTTAAGACCAAAGTGGATTATTGTCATCTTAAAACAGTTCTAGTATCAAATATTTGATAGAGGTTCATATGATTGCTACTTATAACTGTTTAAGTGCCCATCATTCTCTTATTACATGGTCATTCCAGCTGAAATATCATGACATTCCTGCTAGAATGTACTCCAGACAGTACTACAGCTCGCTGCTGCTTTGTACTCTTTGTTCTAGCAAACAACCGTAGAGACAAAAGTTTGGTTTACGATGGCAGCAATCCACTTTAGATTTGGTCCCGCTAACTAGCGCTTAACTCGTCTTTTTTGTTTTAAACTGACATCCCTCAGACAAACTGGCGACAACAGGTAAGATATAATTGCTCCATGGAAACCCACTTCAAAAAATCTGAACTGTCACTTTAATGTTAGCAATCTTGTTTATGGGGTTAATTCTTCCGGTTCATTGTTCTGTTTTTATGGCAGGTAATAAACAAAACTTTTGTGACTTAACATTTTAGAGGATCAACAGAGTTCAATTAAAACTGGACCTTTAAATAAAATAAAAAATAAATAAAGATTTTTAAAGGTCAGTTTACAAACCAGAATAAATTAATAAGACACGCATCAAGACGTTATCCAAAGTGTGTAATTGTTTTCTTGAGGGTACTATCAAGTACGAAGACAGCTATGTGCGCCTCATCCTGAGCTTATTATTAGCCTCAGCTTGACTGGAGAAGCATCTGGAGGGACACAGGTCGTGCATAACTGATGGAGCAGAGTTTATAAGTAAACCAACAACACTGACCAATGAGAAGGCTTTGACAGCTGTCGGTCCGGGCTAACTGTGTGCCATGCTTGAACTTCTTAAAGTCTAAAAGTGCAGCAATGTCACAAATCAGGTTTGGGATTACTCTGGTGCTGGTGCTGCTGGCTGTCCGATGTGTTGCAGAGGAGTCGACTCAAGCTAAAGGCTGTGTTTGTGGATACCCGGGTATACCAGGCGATCCAGGACACAATGGGGCACCTGGCAGGGATGGCCGGGATGGACTCAGAGGGGATAAAGGGGATCAAGGTATGTTTTACAAAATAACAATTTTAACTCTTTAGGATTTACTCTAATTGCAATTCTACCAATGTTAAGTACCAGCAACTTGTGATATCATTATTATTTTTATCAACTACTTATTTAAAGGTGAAATTGGCCCTGTTGGACAAGCAGGTAACGATGGTCACAAGGGAGACAAAGGAGACACTGGTTTGTATTTTCAGAGTGATTTTTCAGTTTTTATTGTGCACTTTTACTAGTTTATTAGTCATATCTGCTTAAAATATCCATGCCCTGAATTTAAAATAAGTTTAATTTAACTGATTCAACTAAAATCTGATACAGGTGCAACTGGCCCAGCAGGGCTCAAAGGAAAAAGAGGTGACAATGGAGAGCGGGGGCTTCCAGGAAAAATGGGACCCCAAGGTGTGCAAGGGCCCATTGGACTAAAAGGAAATAAGGGGGAGCTTGGGCTTCCAGGCCCTAATGGGCCTATAGGAGACCTGGGACCTCCTGGACCAGAGGGTCCAAAGGGGGAAATTGGTCTTCGTGGTGACAGAGGTTTTCAAGGACCTCTGGGACCTCCTGGCAAGCCAGGCCCTAAGGGAGACATTGGTGTTCCAGGTTACAAAGGAAGCATTGGTTACCGTGGAGAACGAGGTACTCGAGGAGAGAAGGGAGATCAGGGTGAAAAGGGAGAGTCACCCATCATCCCTAAAAGCGCCTTCTCGGTGGGACTTTCAGCTCAAACTAAACTCCCAGCATTCAATGTGCCGATCAGGTTCGACAAGATTATTTACAACGAGCAAAATCACTACGATCCACAAACAGGAAGGTTCACCTGCGCCGCAGCGGGCGCCTACTACTTCACCTACTGCATCACAGTCTTCTCCCGGAACGTGAAAGTGGCCCTTGTGAAGAACGGGGCCAAAATCATCCACACCATGGACAACTACCAGAGCAGCGAGGACCAGGCAGCGGGGGGTGCCGTGCTGCACCTGGAGGTGGGGGACAGGGTGTGGCTGCAGGTGGCAGGAGGAGAACTGTTCAACGGGCTCTTTGCTGATGAAGATGATGACACGACTTTCTCTGGGTTCATAATATTTGGAGCTTAATGAAGATTTTTGCATGTACTGGGGTTAAAAATCCTAGAAATTGAAAAATTCTTCAGGTGATTTCATGTAAAAGCAATATATATACATACATATATATATATATATATATATATATATATA